ACAGTTTTACCACAAAACTGCATAAAAAATATGCTGAAAAACTTGGCTTATACATGAGTATATACGGTAAGCTAAACTGATTTTGCACAGAGCATTTTAACAGAATGATCAGGTGATTCTTACCCACCCAGGTACATCCCATGGGGAATCTTAAAATTTAGGTTGTATTTAGTATATCTTCGGTAAAAATGCAGCTCTGAGCAGGGGATTGAACATGCTGGATCATGAAGAAATCCCTTCCCAGCAGCACCAGATTCATGTTTGCCTGCTTACTTGGGAAAACGATGGGCACATGCACAATTGGGAATAGTGCCGGACATTTCTCTTTAATGGAAATTAATTACTCTACTTGACCAACATGTTGCATTTCACTTGTGTCTAAAATGCAATGGGTAATTTTGCAATCTTTTCTTGATAAGATGCTCTGTTGTTTAAGCACAAGTGAAAATTAATAAAAGCAACACGGAAATTAGCATTCTAAAAGCCAGTACTAATTATTTTAAAAAGCCATTTCCATCATATCTAAGTAGTTAATATGTCATTATATCCTAGTGATTTTTAAAAATCATTTTAATCAAAGGTTAAACAGTGACAAGGCCCCACAGAGGGCTGAGGATGCATTCGTCATTTTAATGATCTGCAACAACCGGTTTACAGTTCTTTGACCATGGAAATGATCAGTCCCCATTATCAGCTAGTTAGGAAATACATTTTTTAGAGAAAAGCCTTGGGGTCGCGGGGAATGAGGCTAAGACCATGAAGAGGAAAAGCTCATCGCTAGCCAGCAGTGTATCCCAATTGTCTGAGATTACCAACCGCTCTCAGGGAGAACGAGGAGGCTTTCCACTCCTACAGCTACAGTCTCAGAAACCCGCAGAGGCAGCCCTGTCTCGTCGCACAGGGTGGCTGAGTCAGAAGGGGCTCGATGGCGTGAGCCCAACGATGGGGAATCCAGAGTATGGAAGCCTGCTGCCATTGTGGCCGATGAGTTGAGCCAGATCGACGGTTCAAACCCAATACCCTCCACTGGGGAAAGTGGAGGCGATGTGCCCCTGACAGCTCTGCAGCCTCAGAAGCCCTCTGGAGCAGTTTCACTCTGTCCCCTCCGTTTGCCATTAGTCTTCCTTGACTGCGGGCAGCGGGTTGCCCTTCCTATGCATTCTCATGGCTGTCCTCCTCCTCCTTCCGGCCACCCTTAGTCCGACCACACAAGGAAGTGCAGAACGGGCGTCAATGAACCTTCGCTGTCCTGCCTGTGCCTTTCTGTACCTGTGTCACCGTGGACATCTGTCTCTGGCCTCACTAGGCACCAGCTGCAAAACAAACCCATTCAGATTTTTAGAGCTAATCGCAATCATGATCACGATCACTGAAATTCCATCAAGCTCTAAAGTATTATTTACCTAAACATCAACTTTTAAAAATGGAAGTTTCCCACTTAAGTGTTATTATTGTTATTCCCACCTACATGGGATATTTTAATGGTTGTAGCAGAGTGTTTTGATTTCCTAGTGGAAACAAGTTATCATCTTTATCCCTTTTAATTTTAGACTAAGATTCTGCAAAGGTCTTAACTGACCATCCAATAATTGAAGATTCCCGCCCCGCCCCCCCCCAGTCTCTTTTTCAATCAAATGCACAGGAATGTGTATTTTTAAAATGTTTTTGGTTTTGATTTTTAATTTTACATCATTTAAAAGAATCTCCCTATCCGATGACTCGGGTATCAGAGAGGTGTTTACCTGTATTTTATTGGTGAGGGAAAGGCATTGGACTGTGTGGGTGACAACAAATTCCAGAGCATTTCTTGTGCTCATGTTGAAGCGATACCTGAACCAAGAGGTAGTAGTTAGAACAGAACAGGGAATGCTGAATGGCTTAAAGTTAGGAAAGATGTGTGTTATATTCTTTCCTTACACTTATTCAATCTGTATTTTGAGCAGGCCTTTGAGAAGCTGGATTATATAAAGAACAAGGCATCAGAACTGCTGGAGAGCTCACTGAAATATGTGGGGGACACGGCCTTGCTTGCAGAAAGCAGAGGACCCAAACATGTGTTGACGAAAACCAGACTGCACACTTCAGTATGGATTGCAACTCAATGTGGAAAAAAAATCTCCTCACAACAGGGCCAAGAGCTATAATGACAAATATGGACAAGGCTGAAACTGACAAGGATTTCATTTTACTCGCATCCACAATCAGTGCTCATAGAAGCACCAGTCAATAGTCAAATGATGTATTGCGTTGGGCAAATCTGCTCCATAAGACCTCTTTTTGTTGTTGTTATGAAAATATAATTTTAATTTCGGGGGGCAGGGCAAAAAATTTCTGATTATTAAATTACATAGTCTTGTTTTTAACTTTGAAATTAAAATCCAAGTAAGTTAATTTTTTTTAAATCATTTTATTAGGGGCTCATACAACTCGTCACAATCCATACATACACCAATTGTGTAAAGCACACTTGTACATTCATTGCCCTCATCATTCTCAAAACATTTGCTTTCCACTTAAGCCCCGGCTATCAGGTCCTCATTTTTTCCCCCCTCCCTCCATGCTCCCTCTTCCCTCATGAGCCCTCGATAATTTATAAATTATTATTTTGTCATATCCTGTCCTGTCCGACGTCTCCCTTCACCCACTTTTCTGTTGTCTGTCCCCCAGGGAGAAGGTCACATGTAGATCTTTGTAATCGCTTCCCCCTTTCCAACCCACTCTCCCTCTACGCTCCCAGTATTGCCACTCACACCACTGGTCCTCAAGGGATCATCCACCCTGGATTCCCTGTGTTTCCGGTTCCTATCTGTATCAGTGTACATCCTCTGGTTTAGCCAGACTTGCAAGGTAGAATTTGGATCATGATAGTGGGGGAGGAGGAAGCATTTAGGAACTAGAGGAAAGTTGTATTTTTCATCGTTGCTACATCGTACCGACTGGCTCGCCTCCTTCCTGAGACCCCTCTGCAAGGGGATCTCCAGTGGCCTACAAATGGGCTTTGGGTCTCCACTCTGCACTAGCCCCATGATTCACTCTGGTAAGATTTTTTTTTCTGATGACGCCTTATACCAGATCCCTTCAACACTGTGATCACACAGGCTGGTGTGCTTCTTCCATGAGGGCTTTGTTGCTTCTGGATGCTTGTTTACCTTCAAGCATTTAAGATCCCAGATGCTATACCTTTCGATGGCTGGGCACCATCAGCTTTCTTCGCCACATTTGCTTATGCACCCATTTGTCTTCAGTGATCGTATCATGGAGGTGAGCACACAATGGTATGATTTTTTGTTCTCTTTAAGGAGTTAAGGAGCAAAGATGTTATTTTGAAGACTAAAGGGAAGTTAACCAAAACCATGGTATTTTCAGTCTCCTCATATGCATGGAAAAGCTGGACAATGAATAAGAAAGGCCGGAGAACAAGAATATTGAAAGAGCCATGGACTATCAGAACCAACAAATCTGTCTTGGAAGAAGTGCAAACAGAATGTTCCTTAAAAGAGAATGCAGCAAGACTTCATCTCACATGCTTTGACATTATGAGAGCCAAGTCCCTGGAACAAGAGATGGTTGGTACTTGCTAACATAGGGGGTCAGCCAAAAAAAGGAAGACCCTCAACAAGACAGGCCCTGGCACAAGGGCTATCATTGTGCTCAAACACAATTGGGAGGATGGCACAGGACGGGGCAGTAGAGCAGCTGGTGGTACCTATGCTTGCTATGAATCAGCTGACTCCATGGCACTTAACAACATGAGATTACACACGTCTAATATCAAGATTTAATGTATTAACATCAATTTGATGTTTCTGTAATAAAACCTTGGCATGATCAGACCTCCAGAAGTCATGGGAGAAACATGTTTTGTTTTAAACCACTAAGTTTGGTTCTGACGTGGCAGACTTCACTGCAGCGGTGTGGGTGCAGGCAAGGAAAGTCGTGGTGTTGCTACCCCACGTGTGGGAGCCGCTCTCACATCAATGAGCAGTGGGATGAAAATGCAGGATCCCAGCCCGCCACACACCTACAGAATCTGCATCTGCATTTTCCTATGACCCCTGGATGACTCTGATTCACAGGCACTCTGGAGACACATCTGTCTCTGTGAGCCCAGCTGCAAACCCAACCAGCCACTCCAAGAGCAAAAGATGTGATAGTCCGCACTCATAAAAGCCGACCGTCTCAGAAACCCCATGGGGCAAGTCGACTTTGTGCTACAGGGTGCTACAGGGTCGGCTGGAGCAGGAATCAGCCCGACAGCAATGAGGTTTGGGTTTTACAGGTTGAGAAACATTAGACGAAATTTATTAAAAACTATTTTTTACAAAATGTGAAGTAATCATTTCTCTGGATGCACAAATTTACCCGGAGAAAAAAAATGAAAAAGTCAAAACGCCCACAAGAAAAACTCAAGGGAGCTCTTTGTTGCCATTGACAAGAGCAACAAACATCGCTGCTGCTCTTCGTGAAGAAGGTTCTCCAGTAAAACCCAGTCACCCTCCCACCATGGGCTTTCCTTCTTCGAAAATTCCCAGGAGTTGAGATTTCACTTGTAAAACTTTTATTACCTTTAAATAAACATTGGAATCCCTGGAATCATACTCAGAGAGCCATCTTGTGGGGAATAAAATAATTTCATTTGCATAATACATATTGTTTCTTTACTTTGATATAAAAGACAACAGGGCTCCATGTTCCACACACTGCATCAACCAAAGTTGCAAGTCCTCCCAGTACTTGATGACCATAAAGAGGAGGCCTGGAGGCCAGCCATGACTGCGTCACCACTGCCCTCGGCGTGAGCACCGTCTGGAGGGTGGGTGGAGAAAATGATTGGAAGTGGAATCCGGGTATTTTAAAATGACATTTTATTCAGCCTTTTTCTTTTTGCTAAATTGGGTGCATGAATTATTCAAGATGGTTATAAGATACTCAGCTAATGTTACATGTCAAAAAGGTTACAAAAGCCCAGCCCTAATTACGTGGCACTGCCAGTGACTCCATCCATTTGCGAAATTACAGTAAGCAATGACTCAATGGGTCTGTCTACATAAATAATTCAGCTAAAGAAGAGGACATCGTCAGAATTGGTGATTAGAATACAAAAATCAGAAGAATCAAAGAAGACATATAATTAGTTAATAAAATTTGGTTTGGTAAAAATCAACTCACTCCATAAGAAAGTCAACAATACTGTGAAGGACAGTCCAGAATCCTGTTTTTAAATGCTCATATAATAATTCTATTTTAATCACTTTGAAAAGTAATATCAATGGTTCCACATTAACCTTATAACATACATCATACAATGCGACAGAAGTCAAACAATTATTGGAACGTTTTATTTTGCTTTACCGTACACAAGTCAGAGTATTCCACAAGAGCACACTTTGGTTGCATGTCATGATGAATGTATAGAAAATGTAGACGAAATGGGCACCTCCACTGATTGCTTTTTTTCATAAATAAAAAGCACATTAATGAGAACAAGAAAGAAAGCAGCACCTGAAGCCTGTGACATTTGTAACTAAGTGTTGGTACCAGAACGGTCTAACTGGGTAAGTTCTACTAAGAGGTGCAACAACCACGCCAGGTTTTGCCTTCAAGAGACAGCCTCGTCTGGGCTTCCAGTCCCGTTCTTCCCGATGGTAAGGGGCCCATCAGTCCTTCCGGCGCCCTAGACTTTGGAGAGCAGACCTGACTCTGGAGCACTGGCTTTAATTAGATTCTGGACGTCCTTGAACTTCGGATGGTCTTTGTCAGCCACCAGCTGCAGCAGAACGGCCTCACTTGTGGTAACTATGATTCCAGTTCGAGCAAGACGCTTACAAAGAAAAAAAGACAAAGAAAGACGTGAGCGTGAGAAAGAACAGCCTTTTATTAAAAACAGTATAGGTACGGGGGGCCACAGTAATTAGTATTTATCGGCGTAGTGGTGATGCACTGGACTGCTAACTGCTAAAGACAGGGCTTTCGATCCTGTAGAGCTACAGTCTCAGAAACCGACAGGGGCAGTTTCACCCTGTCCTAGTGAGGTGGTTTTTTTTTTTCACCCTTATTATAAAACTACAGCAGTCCCTGCCCACACTATGAAATTCAGTGACAGGGTTGGATTTCAAATTAGCCACACTACAAACCTATTATGATTATCCCCAGCAGCTAAAACAGGAACTGAAAATGAAAACAAGCGGTCGTCTAGACAATGACGGAGAGGTGCTGGGGGTGGGAGGGTCATCGAAACGAGAGACGACAGCAGTGTGAGGTGCGGGACGGAAGGGTGTGATCTCTGAACAGGTTGACACTTTTAATTGCTGCTCTTTCTTAACTGCTGCTTTGCACATTGCAGCTCCACACCACCATTCCCTTTTGAATGCATTATCTTTCTGAATGCATTAAAGTCCTTTGCTTCAGTTCCTATTATTAACATACCTGTAAGTTGCTTTTTCCCACCTTTCTCCCCTCAGAAGGGTAACTGAGAAATGAGATCGGGCTGTGTGTGAATGCTTACCATTCCTGGTATTGAGGAGTTATTTATTAAGCCACTAATAAATAAAAACATCAGAAGAGGACGAATGCTTTGAAGGTTTAATTAACTATAGAGATTGTTTCCATCAATGTCTACTGTTATCCAATTTCATAAGTTGTGACTATATAGCTGCATTAAAGCTACCGAATGAACTCAAATGAGCATTCCTGGTTTTTTGTTTTTCCTGCCCCAATGCCTGACACACACTGTGCAATTCCTTCCTAGAGGTAAGAGTGTTCTTCCTAGACGTCATGGGTGGAAGAAAACAGCCTCATTTGAGGTTTAAAAATGTGTCCCTGGATAATAAGAGAACCACCCTTAAAACTTTAACATGAATATACCTGCCAAACCAGATTCACTGCCATCACGTTCATTCTGAGTTACGGGACCCGGGAGGATGGAGTAGAACTGTCCCTGTGAGGTTCTGACAGTACCTTTTTATGGGAGTAGAAAGCTTATCTCTCTCCTGTAGAGTGGCTGCTGGTATCAAACTGCTGACCTTGTGGTTAGCTGCCCAGCATGTATCTCGCTCACTACATCAACAGGGCTTCTCTAGTTTAAAACCAACAGCATACAAAACTTATGGTTTGGGTAAATTCGATGGCGGATCAAAGACCCCTTGCTAAATAAATCCAGCAAAATCAGAAACCCCAACCCACTGCCATCAGGTCACTCGCAGTGACCCTGTGAGACAAAGCACAGCTCCACATTGCTTCGGAGGCGGCAAATCTTTTTGTTGTTGTTTTTAATATTGTAAAAGTTTTATTGACAGATCTCACACAATCTATCTGTCCACATCCAATGCTGTTGTTCAATCCCATCGAGCGGAGTGAGATACTCATCAGCGCTATCAGCTCCCCTTTCCTCCTGAGACTGCAAACCTTGTTCGGAACAGCACGGTCACGCACGGTCACGTCGTTCTCCCAGAGTGGCTAGTGGAAAGGACCCACCGACCTGGTAGCTGGCCCAATGGCTTAGCTCACTGTGTGCCACCTCGGGGTCCCTAATCGTCATAGAGGAGGAGAGGAATTTTAAGATGGAGGGGGGGAAAAGGAAAAGACAGAGACAGGTGGGGAAGGAGCAGGGCAAAGCAGCGATGGGAAAGGAAGTATTCATACTCCTGACATACACGGCAAGAACCTGGGAGGTGGGAGGAGGTCTCAAACTTATTCTACAAATAACCCACCAAGAGAACCAGGGAAAAGGAGGATGCTGCAGACAAAAAATGGGGTTCGTTTCCTCTGAAAGAAAGAATCGCAGGGATGGCCAGGATATCACCATGTCTCGGTACTGGTGCTACATCTTCCATCAGATAGGTGCACACGTGCAAACCTACTCACTTCACACGGTCGGGCCCTTCGTTCTTTCCCCCGAGGATGTAGAAGGAAGCTTATCAGAAAACCAGGATGGAGCATGACCTCCAGGTCAGGAAAAGGTGCAGTGCCACTGACAGAACCCCACGAAACAAGGAAGCAATAGCTGGTTGTTCTGATCCACATACCTAAACATGCGGGACACTTTGATCCACTGCCGCCGGGTCAATGCCAACTCACAGCGAGGCTCTCGGACAAAGAAGAACTGCTCCTTCGGGTTTCTGAGACTACATGTTGAGCACACAGCCGCATCTTTTCTCCCAAAACACGGAAGGGAGAAGTGGACAATGCAAGGATACCAGTGCCACGTCTGTTCTGACAAACACCAGGACTCGTTTATCTCTGGGCTTCTAGGAATACATCTATAAGCCCTAGTTCCTCGCTCCTTGCTGTTTCCTTGACTTCTGGCTGTAATATCAAAACCCGCATGTGCTATCAAGTTGATTGACTCACAGCACCTCTACATGACGAGAGAACCACCCATGACTTTCCTACAGCCTTCAGAGGAGAAGGTCGTGAAGGCGTTTCAATCTTTTGAAGGGCGCTGACCACGTAAGACACTCTGCCACCACCAGGGCTGCTTAGCAACTCTGAAGGGCCTGTGTGTGGCGGGCCTTCTTCAGACAGAGGAAAAGAATCTATACAAGACTATCTAGAGACCCGTTGTATCTAGGTGACACAGAAGAGCCAGTCTACAGACGCACATCAAAGGCAGCCTCCAGCTTTTGCCCTACCCTCCTCCTCCTCACTGCTCCTTGTTGAATAAGCGGATTTCAAAGATCCATACTGAACCTGAATCATGGACTCCAAATGTCTGTGAAAGCGCTTCATCATCTCCTCAGATGTCAACAAGCCTGAGAGCTCACTAATTTTTCTAGTTCCTTAGGAGGCAGGAAGGAGAAAAGATTGCTCCCATGTTTAAGAAAGAAGCCATTGTAAAAAGGCCACTTTCCCCGGCCTTATTCTGACCAGGGCCTGGTCCTATCCACACTAACAATCCTCAAAGATGCTGAGAATCAAGCCACAGTGGTCTCCTCTTGCCCCAGAAATCCATTTGGCAAACTGAAAGCTTAGGGTTGCTTAGCTTCAAGATTGGAATGTGGCCCATATGGACTGGGTTTCAACATCACGTGGCCAAGAACCCATGTGAGAGAAAAGCATGGCTCAGCAAAAAATGCAAACGAGGAGATCTGGCTCCTAGACCTTCCCGTCGGCCTACCTGCACCAGCTTGAGGAGAGTCTGAGGGGCCGAACAACAGAGCAGATTCCTGCCACCACTCTAAGCGAGGACAGTGCCTATATGTTGGTCCTAAACGCCGCCCTTGCTCTCCTGACTGAAAAGGGAGTAACTAATACCCTGTTTAAGGCACATGGGCACACATCTGAACAGGCTTCCAGAGGTGTTCCATTACCACACACATCCAGTGCACTGGGCCAAGCCAGAGGAAAGCGTGCTCTGACCTTCAACCCACACGTGGAAGAGCACCAAGCCAGAGGGCCAGGAAGGAAAAACAGCAAGCCTAAGGAATCTCCAAGAAGTACTACGAACTCCCCAGAAGCACAAGGGCATCAAGAGAGAGTTTTATTCTTTTCTTTCTTCATTTCCTCTACAATTGCTAGTTGAAACAAAGAATGCCCGGCACGTGGTAGACGCTCAAAAGTTGTTGAAAAAAGCACACACCATAGACCCTGGCGCAGCAACAGTTCCGATGATGAGAACAATAAATCTGACAATGCAGCAATCTTAGTAGGCCAGGTCAGTCCAAGGAATAATCTTGGATTGTGTTCTGAACAGAAAAAAACGAAGAAGTGGTGGCTGCATTGCTGTTTAAATTTCCATCATGGAATCAAAGAGAAAATGGAATGCTGTTCTCAATATTTTAAGTCAGGACGTTCTAATCACCTTTAAAAAAAATAAATAAGAGGGGAAAGAATAATTTGGCAAGTTTCTCTTACTACCACTTGACCTAATCTATAATTCTTTTTATTTATTTAGTTTTCCTTTCCAAAGGAAATGCTGGTTGCTCTCCAAACCAAACCAAACCAAACCAAACCAAACCAAACCACACTCACTGCCATCGAGCCAATTCCCCCTCCTAGCTACCAAAGCACCGAGAAGAACGGCTCCTTTGGGTCTCTGAGGCTGCAAATCTTTACGGGGACAAAACGCCCCATCTTTCGTCTTAGGAGTGAGGAACAGGCGATGGGTCAGGACTGGTAACATCTCGGTTAGCAGCTCAATTCCTAACCCACTATGCCATCAGGGTTTCAGCTGGTTACTGTCCTAAACAAACACACAGAAGTGATGGAAAACCCAAGCTCATTGCCAAGTGGGTCTGGACTCACGGTGACTCTACAGGATGCAGAACTCTCCTGTGGGCTTCTGAAGCTGTAAATCTCAGAGAAGCAGAAAGTCTCACCGCTCCCCTGTGTGGGTCACTGGAGAGGCCCCTCAAAATATGCCCAGAGAGTTGATCCCTCCCTTCCCCAGATCTCTCAGGTGTAAAGCCCTGGTGGCATAGTGGGTTATGCATGGTGGACCACTCACCCTCGGTCAGTCCTTTGAACCCACCAGCAGCAGTGGCGGAGAAAGATGAGACACTCACTCCCATAAAGACTAATAGTCTCGAGACCCCCAGGGCAGTGGTACCCTGTCCTAGAGGTGCCGGGAGTCTGAGTTGACTCCCTGGCAGTGAGTCTGATTTGGTGAGTCCCAAGGGACTCTTAGAAGAAGGCTTTCATATTCCTGTTAAGACTATATTCGTGAAGACAAGAATTATTTCTTTCAAAGTTTCTAACTAATAAGTTAAGTGTTTAGTGTGTTCTGTAGTATTCTCATTTAGTCCTCACAACAACCCTATGACGGCGAGTTTGATTTCCATTTCAACAAAGACTAATCTGAAGTGGAAGGTTAGGTCGCTTGTTCAAGGACACGAATGCATGAACCTGCCATCCGAATCACTGAGATTATACACTGCCTCTCAAAAGATGAGCTACCGATGGGAAGCAGCTGCCTTTGCTTTCTCCGAGTCTTGTGGAAAGATAGAATTACCAGTAATCGAAATTTTCTGTGATGACTGTCACACTAAAAGACAGGTCTAATAAATTATATGAATGCAGAAAAAACATCCTTGACATTTCTTTATAAGCAAGAAAGGCAATTATTTTGTGCATATGTTTTTAGCTTCTTTTACATCCTTGGAAATACTTTAAGTTCTGGAGCTCTGCGTTACAATTAAGGTTATCTGAAGGACAACAGATCCGCTTGCTGAGAGAGTGAGGACCTGCCATGGGAAGTGTTTAAAATCAGGCTGCTAGAGAAACTCACCAAGTGGAGCTGTTGAACTAACGCCCTTCCTTTAGAATGGGTTAAAAACCTTTGCAGAGATTGGAAGTAGCAATACTTTACTTAGTAGCTAGCTACTAGGAAGGTGTCAATACTTCTAATGGATTTGGCAATAGGTTTTAAAAATAGTAAAACGATTTCTACCTATAATCCAATAATAGGATTCACTGCTTCAGAAATACCAGAGAAGGGAAGACCAACAGAACTTCAACTGCCTTCCCCATCAGCCCTGCTCCTACCGGTCTTCACTCTGCTTCTTTTTCCAGACTCGCTGTGAGTCAGCGTCGACTCCATGACAGTGAGTTTTTGAGTTTGAGCCTTGCTCTACCTTATGACCAAAGGAACATGCAGGCTAAATGGAAGACAATCTATATTTCCCATTGTTATTAAAAACAGAACAGTTAAGGAACTCAGTTTTTAATCTGAAATTCTCTTAGGAGGCCAGGTAGCATAGTGGTTATGAGTTGGGCTGCGATCTGCACAGTCGGCAGTTGGAAACCACTAGCCATTCATTGTGAGAATGACGAGACTGCTGACTCCCATAAACAGTTATACAGCCTCAGAAACTCACAGGGCAGTCCTATCCTGTTCTATGGCATCACTAGGAGTCAGCATCGAACCCGTGGCAGTAAGTTTTTTTTTTTGAACTATTTAACTCTAGGCCTCTTAGAATACTGTTATAGTTCATGAATAAAACTACAGGGAAGTTATAAAATAAGATGTATAGGAGGTTTTGAGGCTTTACTAATTCAAAAGAGAGTGCAAGAATTAAACTCGGATACCATTCTGGAAATTAATGAGTCATGTATGGTCAACCTAAGCACAAATTAAAGAAGTAAACCTGCTATTGCTGAAAAGCAAGAAATGTTCTTTAAATTTATTAGGTAAACTTAAATGATTTACTTTAAGGCCGGTCAGTTACCTCAAGAGCAAACATCCGATCCATCATGCTTCTTGATGAGGTGGCATCAGCAACAATATGAACCTCAATCCCGCGGCCGACTAGCTCCAGAGCCGTTTGCTGGATGCACACATGAGTCTAGCAGCAAAGTGAAGAATCATACACAGTAAGTGGAAAGTACTCTACAAATTCCACTGCTGTGAAAAAGCAAAACCAACATTACGAATTTAATGGCCTTGTCCTAGACCAGTTTCCAACATGGATGATGCTGTGGGGCGAGAACTCGGGGGGGGG